TTTCCCTTGCTGGCTAATTTATTAGGTCATTTTTGCTAGTATTAGCTTTGATCCCCCTTTTTATCATGACTGCTTAAACTCCTAATGGTTGCAGCAACACACATCTGCTGTGGAGAACTTTAGGATCTAGAACCTCTGTTCTACTACATTTCAAAGATGCCCTACTAGATTGAGATCTGGTTGATGTTGAGGTCACTGGAATTTAGTGAACTAATTGGTTTGTTCAACAAACTAGTTTGAGATGGCTTTAGGCCAGTTTATACTTCTGAGCCTCTGCATAGCCTCTGCAACCTGCAATCTGTCTCTGTGCAAGACCAGGCCCTCTGCACAGAGGTTCTGCAACCGTTGCGCACCTAAAAAAATCCTGACTAAAGGTCGGACGGTCTCAAACCCAAGCAGACCTCAAGCCGAAGTGCACAGACAAATAGCAGCTGTGCTTGGTCCTTGGTATGTCTTTCCGGCTGTCTGTGTGGTCGTCCTTCTAGATTTGGTGCCGGGTTGCGCCATTTTTAAAAACCAAGGAATAACAACAATGGATAATATAGATTCATCTCTGTGACCGTGATATCTTCCGGACGCGCCATTGTTGTTTTGTAAAACAAAAAATCCCGAAGAAGTTCTCGTGACCATCCGCCGAAGTTCTCGCAAGTTCTCGAATAGGCTTCCCCTAGCGTTTTGGCGGGAAACTGCTGTGCGTCCCTAGAAATTCCAGACCGACGGTGCAGAAGCATAACAGCAAAACTAATTCCCGACCAGACGCAAGCGACATTTGATGTGTGCGGTTGCAGAAGTATAATCCGCCCTTTAAACTTAAGTGCATTTTTCTGCTGGAACTTCCTTCAGAAGTTTGGCACACTACTGTGAAGAAGGTTAAGACATACTCAGCAACAATTATTAGGTAGGCTGTGGCATAAAATTTAAACTCAAGTGGTACTAAGGGGTAGGAAATGTTCCAGGAAAATATCCTACACACTATTACCCTCGTCTTGTATCAATGGAGCTGCAGCCTAACCAATATCACTAGACCGGATGAGTCTGCTGTTTTTACGTTTTTAACCTTACCATCTAAATCTTGGTGCTGAAATGGAGACTTGTAGGATTTTTAAATGTTTTTCCAATTAAATATGGTATAGTTTTAGGTCGCATGGGTTTTCTGTTTTTCCCTAGGGTCACCTGTGGTTGTTGTCCATCTCCTTTATGGTTCCACTTTTTGTGCATTAGCATCCCAGACAGCATCCCACGTACCTTGGTTGTCGTTAATGGAATTTAAGCTGCCTTTGCTATTTTATCATCACAGACCTGTCAACTGGTTCTCTTCTGACATGTAGAGAGCATTTTTGCATAGTAAAACCATTCGGAACCAAACAAGCTAGTTGCAACATACCAGTGTCAAAGTATCCTAAAGAAGTATTGTTTATATACGGTTTGGACTTTAGCAACTTCACCTATATATATATATATATATATATATATATATATAT